CTGAAAGCTGTTACAATTGTCAGATGCCTCATGATTTACAGTATTGGTTCAGCATCCCAGAATTCATGCTCAGAACTATCACTCAGCAACCGATCACCACCACACCTGAGAACAAAGGAAAATAAATGGGAAGAGTCTCTCCGAGCTTTATAACACCAAGCATTAACACCTGTCCTTGGGACAGCTTTGGGATTTCTACTGGTGCCAGTCCCACTCAAGGTGACCTCACAGGAATAGAAAGTAAGAAAAATGTGAGATTTCTTCCCAGTTATGCTGCACGTATGCTCTGTGAAGCCAGACAAGGGAAGTCAGATGAACATTTTGGGCCAAGACAGATGAGATGGTCCATCCATTTCCCTGCCTGCCCAAGAAGTGTGCTCAGTTGGCCAGGAAACAGCAAAGCACAGCTGTGCTCCAGCATGTCCCCTCAGCCTGCTCTCCTGAACTGTGGCTGGGGAAGCTGAGGTAGTAAATACACCCACCTCTCTACTACACTATTGCACTGCAGTGGCTCTTCTGCATAGGGAGAGTAAACAGGGACCAAGCCCTAAATTACTGGTAAAAAATTACTTAGGAGGTTGAAATGGGGTCTTTTCTCCATGGACAGTCTTCTAATTGTAATCTTTCCAAGCTTAGTCCAAGTTGTGAGGCAGAAAAATATTGCTCTGCTTGTTCTGTACGTAAAACTGGAGCTCAGCCTCCAGTACAACACTTCTCTCTAGTTTTAATTGCATTACAAATTACAGCACTATTAAGAATAATGGTAAGCACGAGGAGAGGATTCATTCCAGAATCAAGCTGCACTTGGTAGTTTACAAAAACCAGCTTTACACAGTGACTTAAGAATACTTGGCAAATTGTATCTTCTTTCTATAGAATGAGAACACAGTCCCACACATATCTTAACCTGTGTGACCTCACAGGAAGGAATAAAGGACGACCTGTTCTTCATCCATTTGCTGTTGTTATTAAAACACTAGCTTTAGAAACGTGGGAGAGCAGGATAGGAGGAGGAGAAGCCAAACCAAATCCTTTGTACCTCACACAGGATTTTTTGAAATTGCAGTAAGAACTCACAATGCGCAAAACCAAACAAAAGACAAATGCAAGAGCCAAAAATTAAAGACAAACAAAGGACAGAGAGGAATTACTGCTGGGAGGAAAGGAACTGCGAGTGCTGATTAGAAATTTCTCAGCCCACCTCGAGGAGGGAGGAGGGGAGAGAAGGGGACGAGAGCCTTCTCTTTCGTGCTCCCTTTTGTCTCCCTGCTTCCTCCCCCCCATCTTGCACTCTGCCTCCTACACTGGCCCCTCCACCTCCCAGCCCCCACTTCTCTTTCAGAGAGCAGAGTGCACCACTCAGGCTGGATTAGGGCTCCTTACCTTGATGCAGACCTTTCATTCCTTTGCACAGCCACTGGGGAGAGGAAAATCTTGAATCCATGTTTGCTAGCCTCTCCTCCCTTTCTGTGCACACACACGCTCACAGTCACACACCTTGGCTTATTTGCTTTCTCTCGGCCATGAAAAAGGACAGCAACACCTGATTTATTGCTGGGCAGCAGCGGCCAGAGGCTGGAGGGGAGCAGGCGGGCTCTGGCTGCCTCCATCTCTCAGCACACAGCTGTGGATAACCTGTTGCCTCCGGAAGCCTGTGCCCACTGGCTCTCGACTGCACCAGCAGCACGCAGTCCTGCCTCAAAACCCCGGGGCTAGAGGAAACGGGAAGGTCTTCCTACTACTGCGGCACCTCTCTCCCTCTGCATTGACCCTGCATGCTCCGAACAGCGGTCGCTGCCAGGAATCCCGAACTACCTTCGGTGGAGGGAGGGAAGTGTCAGCAGCCCAGTCTTTTAGCCTGATGGAAAAGTCCTGATCTATCCGCACATGTCCAGATAAAGGAGCTCTTTAAAAAGAAGGAGGAATGAATGTCACGTTTATCTACACCCTGTACTCCTTTCCCAGTCCCTGGATGCTGTTTTATCAGCTCATTACTATGGCTAGTGGGAAAGGAGTGGTAGTTGTGGGTGCGCTGGCACTCCAGACCAACTCGGTGAGGCAGGATACATTTGGAAGCAGCCAAATGGCAGGGAGGGAGGGAGGATGAGCTGGAAGCTGCTGAAGCCCCAGATGAAGCCGTGAAACCCTGGAAGGGAGCAGTAGGCAGGCACCGGTGTTGAAGATGACTCAGAGTGAAAAAGCAAGGAAAGGGGTGGGTGGGTAGTGGGAGAGAAGTGTTATGACTAAAAGCCGAATTTACTGCTTGTGAATCCTAAATCTGAATAGGAAGAGGGAAGAGGCTGAGGTCTTCTTTGTGGGATACATCGGTGGCGGTGGGAAATATATGCCACTTAAACCAAGTGTGTCTGTTTCTTTCAGCCTGTAACCAGCCTGCCTGGCTAAGTCATCCTGCTGCAGCTTTTCCTAAAGCCTGCTGCTCCTGCCTGTGCCTGGCTGCTGCACCGGCTCACAGGAGCCAGATCCTGTCCCTCAGAGAGGGCTCCCTCTTTCCTCCCCGATTCCCTGCTGCCCCGCCGTTCTCATTCTGTTTTAATCCCTCTCTTTTTCCTCGCTGTCCAGCTCTCAGACCCAGCCCCTTTTCAGCTTGTTCCCCCTGCCCTCTCCCCCTCTCCGCTCTCCTCTCCGGCTCCCCTCCCCCTGGCTTAGGGAGGGAGGGCTCGCCCGACGGGCAAGAGGTGGTGGGCGAGCTGGGCTGGGGAGGGGGGGGGCAATCCCCTCCTGCAGTCACAAAGGCCTGGGCACAACTGCACCGTCACGGGGAAGGCCCCCCTGGAGGCCGGGGCAGAGGCAGGGCAGCCCCCTCCTCTCACACCTCTCTTAGGACGGCGTGTGCGGTCAGGACACCGGGTAAAGGAGAAGTTCCTGCGATTGTTCCCGGCCTGGCACGGGCGGGCGAGGGGGAGTCGAGGGTTTGTCGCCATCCCTCCCGCACCGCGGCCAAGGACACTCCAGCTCCCCCGCTTTCCAGCTGCCTTCCCGGGCCGGCTCCCACCTTCCCCGCCGCCGGCGCGCTTCTCTCCCGCCGGCCCCGCGGCGAACAAGCGGCCCCAGCGCCCCGCGGAGCGAAGCGCCAGTGATCCCTCGGACCTGCCCCCGGGGCCCCCTCGGACCTGCCCCCGGGGCCCCCTCGGACCTGCCCCCGGGGGCCCCGGGCGGACAGGAGGCGCCGCTTCCCCTCCTCGTCCCCAGCCCCTCTCCGCGAAGTCTCCGCAAACTGCACCGCGGGACGCCCCGCAGCAGCCCTCACCCCACGCCGGCTCCCTCCGCCGCTGCCCTCCCGCAGCATCTCCCCGAACCCCCCCATTTTCTCCCTAGAGAAAGCCGCGGAGCCCGGCGGGCTGGGCACGGCAGGGGCACGTCGGGGCCGCCGGGGCGCCCGTGGCCCTACCTGTGAGCCACAGCAGGACGATCCATCCCAGGACGTGCCCATCCATCTTTCCCAGTGGTCCAGGCGGCGCGGGGCGGGAGGGAGGGAGGGAGGGAGAGGCGCGGGGGCGGCCCCGCTCGGGCAGCCGCCTCCCCACAGCGCCGGCCGGGCTGGCGGAGCGGCCGCGCCGTGTGGCTCCGCTCCTGCTCCTGCTCCGCTCCTCCCCCGCCGCCGGTGCCCGCGGCCGCCCCCGCGGCTGTCCGGGCGCGGGAGGGGGATGCGGCTTCCCGAAACGGCTTCCCGAAACTGCTTCCCTCCCTCTCTCCCTCCCTCCGGCGAAGGCGCGTTTCGGTTGCCAGGTGCCGCTCCTCAGCCTACGGGCACCCCGGCACGTTCCTCCGCAAATCCTTCATCCCCCCCCGGCATCCCTCCGCTTCTTAGCGGGGTTCTTACAACTTCTAGTAAGCGCTTAAAAATGTCCCCGCCGATCGTCTGTCCTCCCGAATTAACCTTAACGTGTACCTTGAGAAATAAGTGTAGACGGTTCCTGTTCGAAATTTCCCCGGGGTTTCCACTTCCAGCGTGGGCACTGCAACTAATTACTGTAATTTTTAGATGAAGAAGGGATATAATTTTAGATGGAATATAATTTTAGATGAGGAAAAGGTGTTCTGGCTGTTAGCAACGGGCAGCTGAGTTGTGGGGTGTTAAGTTGTTGTGCAAACGTGATACTGGGAGGAGATGGATTTTTTTTTTTGTGAGGAAAGGGGACAGCTAACTAGATATACAGCTAAAAATGACATTTTAGAATATGGATGTTGCTTGGAAATTAAATGGTCCTGGCCACAGTGAAGCCACGTGGATACACACTCACTGTACTTAAAACTTTTACAGTTTCTGTGAAAACTTAATAAGTCAGTGGAATTATTCATAGGCCTAGAGCTGGCTAAAATAGCATCATGCTTCCTTTGGTGGCTCAGCACCTTCCAGCATGGCACTCACCACTCACAGCATCCAGCACAGCTCCCCTTTGCGTGTTGTTCACCCTCAGGCCTTTCTCTTGCAGGGGCTTGGCTGGTCTTTGTAACCAAAGCTGGGATGATGCAGATATCAGCGATACACATGGGAGATGGGAGTAGTCTTCATCTCGTCTGGAATCTGCCAAAGAACATGAACAATTCTGATTTTCCTAACGCAAAGCACTGCTAAAAGGGTGCACAGGGATGCCTGCAGTAAAACTGTACAACCTATTTTCTTTCTAGCAGGTATTTTCCAGGTGCTTGTAGATCCCTCATCATTTTGTCTTTCAGACTGAACTTCTCTACAGGCAAGATAAGCTTATTTTAACAAGTGTGGATGGAAGATCAATAATTTCTGAGAGAAAAAGCATGTTTGCTGTGATAAAAGGTGTGTTGAAACATCCTTGGCTGTTTTTAAACAGATGTAGTCCCTCTGTTAGCATAGTTAAAGTAGAATTAAGCAAGGAGACAATCCCTAGGCAGCCAATCTGTTTTTAAGTGTTTTATGCAGAGCCATTCAATGTTATTGAAAAATATTTTTCACATGGAAGCTTATTTTTATTCAACATTGCATTAAAAAAAAAATACACACCCACCCCAATCACTGTTCTGATGTTCCTCTGACCTTACACATTATGAATTTAACTGTTTTGAAGTACTAGCTAAAAGTCACTATTAAGAAGTAAGCCCCTGTTAACACTAAATCATGTATATGTGCAACAGCCCACAGTGTTGTTCTCCTTTAGCACACAGGAATCTGACACCCCACTGCCTTTGTCCATACTTGCAGGTGAAAGACAAAGTAGAAACTCTCACTTGGGCCACAACTTCAGCCTCCAGAAATACCTGTGGTTCCAGAAAACTCAGGTGGATACTTTGCATCAGCTGAGGGCCTGCCTCGCCATTGTTATATATCTGTAGGATACAATCCATGAAGGTCTGTATGGGCTGAATTAAGACTCCTAAAACGGGAATATAAAGCTATTTTTCTCTCCCTCCCTTAGCCTTTTTTCCTGATAACCCTCAAAATCCTGATTCGTTGCCTTTTTGTGACTTAATTGGCCAGGAGTCTGATCCAGAGTTTCCTGAGACAATGTTGATGTTGATATTATCTCATCTGTTTAACACTGGGAGCAGTACAATCCCTTATGCGTCACTATTGTTAGCTACTCCTAGGGGGTTTTTTGCTGTTTTTTGTTTTTTTTTAATCTACTCCAGCTTTTGCAAATAAGTTTGGCATACATCAGTTGTGCTAAACTTTTGACTCACGACAAAGGAAGGAAAGATTTTCAATACAAGGAAGCACCATTGTTTTGCATGTAACGTTGGATTTATATCTGCTTTGAAATTCTCATAAACTCACTGTACGGTCCTTTTTCATTTAATGTGAGCTGTCATTTGTATACATCCACGTGTGATGGATGCCCAAGCCCAGAATAGATGTTCCAGATCTCTGTAGACCTTTGATCTGAGTATTGCAACATCTGAGCTGGCTTAATAGTTAATGTTGGGATGTTGTCTTTCCTTTTAGCCGGTTCTTGGAGACAGAAAGCCGTATGACTGCAGTTAGCCCCAGTTCACCCTCAAACAGTGGGGAAATTCCTATGCAATTAGCCAGATGGCTTCAAGCCACGGCCCAGCAGGGATTCTCTGTCCCTTGAAAAACAACATACCGGTAGACTTAAACCTTCATCTCCATTAGTAACTTCTCCCTGCTTGTCCTGCATAATTTAGCCCCAGACTGAATCTGAAGAATGCCACACCTCAACACTGTTTGACATCGCTGATACCGTGATTCCACCCGAAGGAGTTCTCTAAGCAATGGGATCGTGAACAAATTCGGTTGAACAATAGGGAAACAAACAAACTCACTTTTTTATTCATGCTGTAGCAGCTGCTGGCTTTTTTCTCTCCTTGCCAAGTACTTCATTCCTCCCTCCCTCCTTTCATCTTCCAGTACCAGTCTTTTGTGGTCATTTCCTCTGTTGATAAGCAGAGTCAGCTTTTTAAATTACCAGCACGTGGAATGATTTACAACAGCACCTCACTCAGAATGACCCATCTCGGAAACATCCCTGAAAACCTGCTGTGCTGCATGAAGATTTTCTTGCCATTCAGCCCCCTGGATTTCCCCTGTAGAAATTTCCATAGAAACAGCGATTTCAGCAGCTTTCTGGGATGTCATACTACATTCAGCCAGCAGACACTACTTTCTTGATTTAGTACTGAGACCAGCACACTATAGAAGTTATTAGGTGACACACCATCAATTCACTGTGTTTAGTGAGTCTCTTCAGCATAGCTACTAACTAAAACTTTTCCTCGTTTGCTTTGTCACACTGGAATCTCTTTATAATCGTTGATAGCTTCACAGCAAGACATCACTGAAATATATGCACTCTGGGTATGCTGGGTTTTTTTCGAGCTGCCTTGCTACATTTGATAGCACAGTAATACAGAGCTTTTACTTCCCATTAATGTCAGGAGTGAGGGATATGGATATACAAACTGCTTTTGGTTTTAACCATGGTGTTTGTACCAAGCAGTGTTTAGAATATTTAATGGAGAAATTTGACTTTCTCATTGCAATGAACCTTCAGTTCTGTAATACAAATTCAGCATTAGAAAGAAACCAAGAGAACAGCATCTTTCTATAGTATTTACTCCTCTAAATTTCCTGTGTTGCTCCTGATCCTTTTTTTAGATACCAAAAATCATAGCATACCTTTCCTACACTTCAGGGGGAACCTGAAGTTTTTATTTAAGTCAAACATTAAGGACATGTCAGCAATAGTGGTTTGTGAAGTTATTATATAGGCACACCACGATCACAAGTGAATCATCCCAGCTCACAATCCTGTGTGTCACTATAAGCAAAAATACACAGTATAGGAATAAGAAAACTCTGCTTGCATATCTACAGATAACCAAGGAGATAACAAGTTGTTAAACCCTCTAAGGTTTTGGCTGTAGAGAAACCGTGGGCAGCACAAATACCTTCAGGGACCTGGAGTTCATAACCCAGACTGTTGTCACTGTCTAATCCAGCTTTTTTAATAAAACAGGCCACATCACTTTGCCATGCTACATCCATGTAGTTTGAACTACACCCTGTTTTGTTACAAAAAGAATCACAGATTACTTTGGGATGGAAGGGACCTCACCCTGCCCCTAATTTCATCTAACTTCACCTTCTAGTACTGCCAAGCTCGAAGACAGGGCACTCTTAAGGCAATTTCTGAACAGAGGTAATGACAGACTATGATCAAAGCACCCTTAACATCCTCTCTGGAAGTTCAACAGACTGTTTTTTTGCTATATTCTTGAGCTAACACCAGAAATAGAGAGACCATCTCAGGCTCAGTTGCTAAAAGGATGAAAGCAGAAGTACTACAGCATCATCATCCCTGCTTGATATGTCTTTGTTTCTCCCTCCAGGGATCATGCTGTTAGTCCTCTTGACACAGCATCACATAGGGATCTCCTCTTTGGTGGGGAATCCCACTCTATCACATATGTTATTCAGTATTCCCTCAATCTTTGTATTATTTGCAAGTAACTGTAATGACTGTTTCCTTCAAAGGTACCAACAAATATTTAGTAGTATGCAGCCAAGAAAGGACCTAAGAAAGATCTTGTGAAAAAGTGTGACTGCAATTCCTCATTTAAAATTACATTTTGAGACATCCTAAGCTAATGCATTATCTGGAGACTGGATGGTCTCTGTATCATAAATCTGTATCCTTGATTCAATGTTGTGTGGTCAAGTCACATGCCTCACGTGTCTGAATGCATTACCTTTAGTAACCACACTTAATATCTTTTTGATGCAATTACAGACCAATGTGACAGAATCTATTTGCTGCAATCCCACGTTGATTGGCATTAATTATGTTACTTTTCTTTAATTCATTATTGAAGCAACTCCTGTGTCAGCGGTTCCATTCTTTTGCCTGGGATCCCTGTCACTCTGACAGGTCTGTAATTACTCAGGGCATCCTACTTGCGGCCAGATCCAAAACAAGACTTTGGAAAAATTTTGGTACCTAACATTTAGAACTGCAATCTAAAAAAAACCTCATTGAGAAGCAGTTTGAGGATGAAAGCACAGATGTGCTGTCAAAGTGCACGCTTACAATTTTCCTTCTCTGCATACCCAGATAGTACTGAGCACATAGATGTCTAACAAACACTCAAGCCAAGGCTTACATATATTTGGGTTGTAGAAGCCAGATCCTTGTCTTATCAGATATTAAGGATTTCCCAGTATTTGTCCAGGATACTGGAACAATGTGATGATTTCCCTGGAGGCATGGCTTTAAAGATATCTGAAATGTATGGCATAGAGGGGATGCAGCTGTACCACACCTGGGCAGCTGGTTACCCTGTGGCTTGTATCAGCTTCAGTGGTTCTGGGATGTGGTGCTCAGCAGGGTCACAGCGCTTGCCCAGCAAGTCCCATGCATCCCACAACTCCATGACCTGCTGCACTGCAGCTCCCAGCACAAATGCTACTGTTTCTGGAGAGCAGACAGAAGCATATCAGCTCTCACTAGAGTTCCCTGTGAAACCTGGAAAAAAGATGCTGATACCACATCTGAGCCCTGGTCCAGGACATTCACAATGGGTCTAACACTCGGCAAAGCCCTGCAAAGACAGGGTGATGTGGCTTACCTTTTGTAAAAAGGCCTCCTGACTCCTAGTTACATCCTTAAGCACATAGTTGAGGTGTGAGGCACCCTGAAGTCCTTTTGCAGTTGTGGCACTGTTAAAAAAAAGAAACCCAAGATTCACTAGGTCAAAAGGGAGTGGGACTAAGAGAAAGCTGGCAGCTGTAGCATACCGGTTAAACCGTTCACCTGGGGAAGGGGAAACCTGCAGATTCTGATCCCTGAAATGTCTCTGCATTACATATGGAACAATATAGTTACTGGACCAGAGAGGCAAAGTTTCCACTTTGTTTCAGTCTCCAAAGAATTTGTAGGTTTAAAACCTCCATAACCAGGCTGGGAAAGACATCAGGTGTGGGATTACTTGACAAAAACTTGTCTTCACACACAGAAAGGAGTGCAGAGAGACAATGGCATGGGGGGAGCCCAGCGCACACCCTGCCCTGGCTCCTCCCACACCTGTCTCAAAAGCCCATCAACAGCCCATTTCCACAAGTCCAAAGGCGCACAGGGACACAATGGCAGATGAGAAAGAACGCTCAGATAGGAACTCAGAATAAAGGAAAACCTGCCCAAGCCCCTCCCAGGGCTGTCCCAGGGAAGCCTCAGCTCCAGGGTGCAGACTTGAAGCGTATCAAGATGAGTCAACACCACAGCAACTTTAGGTTGCAGCCTACGGATACAGGACTTGTTACAGGATGCAAGGGAAGAGCATTTCAGAATTGCATAGGGCTTCTTAGGGGATGCTTAGGGGAGGAATCAAAGGCAAAGAAAGAGAGAGATGTAGATGATTTGGGAAGGAACAAGTAACAGAAAGAAATGGATAAGGGGATAGAAAGACCCAGCTGTGTGTGTGAAGAGTTTGCTGGGCAATGTGCTTATCTGTCATGCACAGCCCATTCCCTTCTTCTTATTGAATTCATTTATAACTTTTCTTCTGGGAGAAGGACTCCCTATTTTACATGTATGCATGTGTGGGGGCGTCTGTGCCAGCCTCTAGTCAAGCCATGGCTTGGAGAGTCCACATGCCTGGGTGACAGTGACTGGAGAGACAGGAGGAGGTCCTGACTTAAATGTCATCAACTGTACTAGGTGAGAGGGTGGTGTGCCCTGAGAGCCAGGGAGAGGGGAGTGGATGGTTCATCCCTAATGGCAAAACAACAGGAGGAGCTGGGTTAGGCTGGGATTACATACTTGACCTCCCTTCAGTGGGACCTGGGAGGGTGGAGTCGCACCCGCCTCGCCTCTCTTGGGCCGATGGATCTGGCCCGACTCCTCTAACATAAACACCAAATATTTCACTCTGTGGGAGGGTGACATGGCCCCAGACCAGCAGGCAAGTGGGTAAGAACAGATGTGGTCACTGCAATGTTTTTTGGAATAACTTTGCTCATTCCTTCTGACAAACAACTGCAAGACATACCTTGGAAAGATTATAGCCGTGAATCCTGAATGAATGAATATACATTACTGGCAGAAAAGTTCCAGATAGTTTTTTTGCCAACAAAGTACTAGAATACACAGACCCTATTTTGAGATACCTGTGGCAAACTCCATGCACTGATGGAAAAGCACGGGCTGGCAAATGAGTTCTCTGGACCATTTACACTGATTTTGTAAATTCTGGAGCTGTGTTTCCAAGGCCAGGTACCTAGGACTTAAAAGTGCTGGCACATTACTTAATTGAATTAAGTGCCAAAAAAAAAGTATTATATAAATACTGGCACAACATTTGCTGTCATCTGCTGGAATGGCCTCAGTGCTACAAATCAGTTATTTACAAATCAGTGTAAATGGTTCAGAGAGCTCCTTTGCCAGCTAAGTTAAACAGCAGACAATTGAAGAGTTAAAACATGAGTTTCATCAGAGGCACTGGGCTCTCCTCAGGGCTCTGGAGGAGAATACTGATGACACAGTGCTCTGGAGATGATCTGTTCCCTGTTCTTTTCTCTGTCCCCACAACCCAGATAGGAAAATCCTTTCTCTCTCTGCTGCTTATGAATTTTATTTTCCAACCACACCTCTAGCCCTAGGAGAGCTACTACTGGAGCCTTGTGTTTTTCAAACAGTTGATGAACACATTATCTGAATTTCTTTAAAAGGAAGGGCTGCTAAAGGGTGGGTCCCAAAGCTGCACACGAGAGAAAAGAAAATGATGCGAAGAAAAATAAAACACAAGTGCACAGATGCACTCCTAGCAACAACTCTTACAGTAATATAACAGTAAATACTTGCCTTTCTGCCTGAAAAAAACTAGACTCTGTGCAGATGTTTATATTTACAAGATAGAAGTCATTCCTTGCAGTCTCTCCTCAGAGCTTTAGCATTTAATGTAGCCGGAACTAGACCTGAATATAAATAATTTTCCACAGCAGTAAAAGTAACTCTAAAAATGCTTACCTGTTTTCTTCGAGGTTACATCACAATTTTATACATTTTTAACAATGTGATTGACTCATCCTGTATCTTTAACAGCAAATTTAGCAAGTGGTTCACAAACATAAACCAAACTGTTTCACTAGATTTGAGCCTCCAGAAGATTAAACTGCGCCAGCATTTTTTAACCCTCTGAGAAACCAGATCCCAGGGAGATGCAGGAGCAATTTAATTTGACCTTACCTGACAGCAGTTCCACCACTGACAAACATAATCAGCTAAGCCAAATATTTAAGCCTAAACAAGGGCTACCTCCTTTGGAGCTGAACAGCCTTGCATTACCTAACCAGAGGATGAAAAAAGTAGCTACTCTGAGGAACAGAGGCAATGTTTTCCAGCGATTTGGAAATGCATGGAGGTGTTTCATAGCTGTTTTTATCCTCATGTCTAAGTTTAGAGCAGATTTAACAGGACTGCGGGATAGAGAATTGCAAAGAATCTTTCAAGTCAGGGCTACACCGTTTATTTTTATCGAGATTGTCCAGACAAACTCCACTGAAGATGGCTGCACAAGAAGCAGCATGATGGCTCTTGTTCTGCTGCGCTACTTGCGCTCTGCAGGAACTGCAACCACATGCTGAAGGAAATCCCCCAAAAGACATGGGAACAGTGAGGAATGTGGGAGACATCACATGCCTAGGACAAGGAAAACCAGGCCAGAAGTTAATAAGGGCCTATGCCAATATTGCCACTTCAGTATGGCCAGTGAAGATCATTTGGGTCTTGAGAGAGATCAATAGAAAGCTTGAGGTCGGAAGCAAATCTGTGCTACTCATCAAGATGATGCAGATCAGATTATTTCCAAACTTTATTTTATCTGAACTGTGACTCACTATGCAAACTTTCAGTGAAGGAAGTGTCAGTTATGTCAATGAGATAGATGAAAGGAAAAAACCCAACAACCACAAAAAAACCCACACCAAAAAACAACCCAAACCCACAAAAAGACAGTCTCAACAGCAGCCTCAGTTCTGTATAACATGAGCTCCCAAATTATTTTTATAAGCAAGTTTGCCTTTCCAAGCACATGCATGCCCTCTCACATGCTCCACTTTTCTCTCATATATCTCAAAACCAAACCCAGGGTTCTTACCTGAAGTTGGTCTCCACTTCTTCCTCCACTCCTTCCTGTACGTCCTGGGCCACTACCCCCATGATTTGTCGGCCCCTATTCTCACCCAGGCCCCCATGTCCTGGTAGCATTTTGAATGCTACTGGAAGCATCAGAAAAGGCACATCACTGTGATCATCTTGTCTTACAGAGTACTGGCTATCAGGGAGCAGCAGGAGCCAGGCTGCTCCAGAAGGAGATGAAAGAACAGGAGCCAAGGGGGCTCATGCAGATATCAGGGCAGGCATCCTGCCAGCCAGTGCCCAGCCCTACAGTGAGAGGCGGGAAGAGGCCTGTTTTGGCCCAGGTGAACTACAGAATCATAGAATCATTTAGTTTGGAAAAGGCCTCTAAGATCATCGAGTCCAACCATTAACCCAGCACCACCCTGTTCACCACTAAACCATGTCCCCAAATGCCACATCCACATGCCTTTTGAACACTTCCAGGGATGCTGAGTCACCCACTTCCCAGGGCAGCCTGTTCCAATGCCTGACCACACTTTCAGTGAAGAAATTTTTGCTAATATCTAATCTAAATCTCCCCTGAGATAACTGGAGGCCATTTCCTCTTGTCTTGTTACTTCTTCCCTGAGAGAAGAGACCAACCCCCACCTAGCTACAACCTCCTTTCAGGGAGTTGTAGAGAGTGATAAGGTCACCCCTGAGCCTCCTTTTCTCCTAAAACCCCCCAGCTTCCTCAGCTGCTCCTCATAACACTTGTGCTCCAGACCCTTCCCCAGCTCCATTGCCCTTCTCTGGACGCACTCCAGCACCTCAATATCTTTCCTGGAGTGAGGGCCCAGAACTGGACACAAAGAGGGGAAATTTAGGTTAGATATTAGGAAGAAGTTCTTTATTGTGAGGATGGTGAGGCACTGGAACAGGTTGCCCAGGGAAGTCGTGGATGCCCCATCCCTGGCAGTGTTCAAGGCCAGGTTGGACGGAGCTCTGAGCAACCTGGGATAGTGGGAGGTGTCCCTGCCCATGGCGGGGAGTTGGAACTGGATGATGTTTATGGTCCTTTCCAACCTCCTATTGAACCATTCTATGATTCTGTGATCCTTAGCGCTTGTCGGCTCTGTCGCACTGAGAACAGGCCTAGGGCGATGCTGACTCAGGATCGTTTTGACAGCCCAGGTTCGCAGCAGGGCGGCGGGCGCCGCCCCTCCGGCCATGTCGGGTAATGGCCGCCCCGCCCTTGCCGCCAAAACCGTGAGGGCACCGCCCCGGCGACCCCTCAGGAAGGGACGCGCTGCCCCACCGCGGCGGGAGAGGCCGGAGCCGGAGCCATGTCACAGCGCAGAGGCTCCGTCAGCCCCTTCTTCTGCTTCGTGCGCGACCAGCTGCCCGAGCTGCGGCGGCGGGGGCTGCCCGTGGCCCGCGTGGTGGACGCCATCCCCCACTGCCGCCAGGCGTGGGCGGTGAGGGGGCGGCGAGCGGCGCGGGGAGGGCGGCGGGGATGGCGAGGGGACACGGTGACAGTGCGGGCTCTCCGGAGGGTCGGGTCGGGTCGGGTCGGGTCAGTGCCGGCGTGTTTAGCATTTCAAGTGGGCACCCTGAGCGGCCTCAGGTGGGTCTCGCTGTGCCGCCCTCCCCCTCGGCTGGCGGGGCGGCCCCTGGCTCTGTGTGCGGAGGAATGTAGCATCCCTGGCTGGCAGGAGTAGTTCCAGAGGATCCCCGGTTTGTGGTAGTTCCAGAGGATCCCCAGTTTGTGGTAGTTCCAGAGG